TCTACTTTTGGCTACCTCCCTACTAATTATTTATTATCGATCATGTAAAATCTCTTTTCCAGGGTAAAAATCAAACTTAAAAAGAAATTAAATTATAACCTTATAAGACTCAATATATTAAACAGATTGAAACATTTTAGTGGTTAGAACGCAAATATGAGGGAACATTTGAAAAGAAAACTAGGTTTTCTGGGGAAACAGCTGTGAGGAACTTTTCAATGTAATGTATAAAACACTTTGATGCTTGAGGTTAAATTCACATTCGGGCCTGGGAGCAGTGGCTCACATCTGTAATCTCAACACTTTGGGAGACTAAGGTGGGCAGATCACTTGAGGTCAGGAGTTTGAGATCAGCCTGACCGACATGTTGAAACCCTGTCTCTACTAAAAATACAAAAATTAGCTGGGTGTGGTGGTGGATGCCTGTAATCCCAGCTACTCAGGAGCCTTCCTTGAAGTTCAAAAAAACAATTTCAATGACATCTCATTGATTAGAATTTAGTCACATACCTACATACCTAACTGCAAGGGGGTTTTTTTCTTTTTTTTTCCCTTCTTTTTGAGTGGCTATAAACCCAGCCAAAATAAAGTTTTCATCACTAAGAAAGGATGAGGAAGTAGATACTTGAGATTGTGTCTTACACAGTCTCTTTCTACCACCATTTTGGTTAGCAGTTGCCAGAGAGTTGAGCTTTTGCTGTATGAGTTTGCTTGAAACCCCCTCCGTCTTTTTCCTAACCTGAACTCAAGTGTAAATAAACTGCTGCTTCTCTAGTCAAGCAGAAGAGGGATACACTTGAGGAGTTTTCTTTTTTCCCCTAAATCTTGGTAGAAAATGCATCTAAAGACATTGTTCAGTACTACATGCAGGTTGCTCCTTGTGGAACTCCTGAAGAACTGAAACTCTCGGAATAAAACTCTATAGCATCACCACCATATCACTAAAAATATATAAACCTAAATTTAAATGTTATTTAAAATGGCAGATGGGCCAAATAACCATGTGCCAAGCTGGTATGAAACTGTGTATACTATAAGATTTTTCTGAGAAAAAAAAAAATAGCTCAGGCAATTCAAATCTAAACAAGAAAATATCTCCAAATATCCTGTAATTTGTTTTCTAGCAAGGATCATGGGAATAATAGTTAAAGCCAGAAGAAAGTTAAATAACCTGGTCTTCATTTCAGTAAGATTCAAGGGAGAGTCAAGGTCTATATGTCATGGTTAAAAATGTCAAAGCAAGATCAGAGGGTATAAGTATAACTGAACTTTAAAAATGATGATGATCATTATTTTTAACAGACAAGATTCTTCCCTGTCACCCAGCCTGTAGTGAAATTGCACAATTATAGCACATTCCCGCCTCAACCTCCCAAGTAGCTAGGACCACAGGTATGCACCACTGTGCCTGGTTTATTCATTTTTTCAAAAATTATAAAAAAATATTGTTAGAGACAGGGTCTCACTCTATTGCTCTGGCTAAAAAAATTATTGCTTATTATATAAAAATGTGTTACATGAAGTAGAGGAAGTATTGCAACTGTCTCAATGACCCTATAGACTGTCAATTCACAAAATACTATGTTTGGCTGTGTGCAGTGGCTCACACCAATAATCTTAGCATTATGGAAGGCTGAGGGGGGAGGATTGCTAGAGGCCAGGAGTTCGAGACCAGACTAGGAAACATAATGAAACCCCATCTCTACAAAATAAAAATTAACAAATTAGCTGGGCATGGTGGTGTGCTCCTATAGGCCCAGCTACTTAGGAGCCTGAGGCAGGAGAATCACCTGAGCCCAGGAGTTCCAGATTATACCCTGTACTCCAGCTCAGGTGACAGAGCAAGACCATGTCTCAAAAAAAAAAAAAAAAAAAAAAGTTTGTTCATTTCCTTAGAATACTGTTGTCTCCAGATTAATCATCATTGTTTGGACAAATATTATTTATCTACTGGGGGGCAGAATGAAACAATTTCTGCCTTTAAGGAGTTCAGTTTGGTGATTACAAATTATTTGTAATTTTCATCTTTATAAATAACAGAACCATTGTATTCTATGATCTCAGAACCAGGGATTAAGAGACATGGTTTGTCCACCAAGAACAAAGTAGAAAGAGCACAGGTTTAGGATTCAGAAAACTTCCATTTAAAGCTCAGCTCTGTCACTTACTATCTATGCCTTTGAACAGATTACTTCACCTTTCTGAATTTCAGTTTCTTCCTCTGAGAATTGAGAATAATGCCTACCTGTCAGGATTCTGAGGATTAAATGAAACAATACAAATGCTGTGCTTGGCACATGGGAGCTATTCAAAAACTGTAATTATTATAATTATCATTAATTATTGTGTTATTTCCAAGAGTGGATTAGGTTCTACAGAATGCTTTGGAGAGTGCGCATGTAGTAAGAGCAATAGATATACAGAACTTGCTATAATCCGTGTCCTGTTCTCAGCACCTTCCTCAGTAGAATTGGATTTTAAGCATAGCAACCATCCTTGAAGGTATTACTATTTTTAATCCCTGTTTTATAGTTGAGGAAATTGTGGCACAGAAAGTTGAGTAACTTGCCCAAAGTCATACAACTAACTGACAACGTTGAGATGTGAACCCAATCACCATTTCTCAAGAGTCTGTACTCTCATTAATAGATCACTATGAATAACTTAATTATTTAATATGGGTTGGGTTTGGTGCCTCAAGCCTGTAATCCCAGCACTTTGGGAGGCCAAGGTGGGCAGATCACTTGCGGTCATGAGTTCGAGACCAGTCTGGCCAATATGGTGAAACCCTGTCTCTACTAAAAATACAAAAATTAGCTGGGTGTGGTGATGCCTGCCTGTAATACCTCATACTCGGGAGCCTGAGGAAAGAGAATCACTTGGACCTGGGAGACAGAGGTTGCAGTGAGCTGAGATCACACCACTGCACTCCAGCCTAAGTGACAGAGCAAGACCCTGCCATTAAAAATACATATATAATCAAATAATTTAATCTGTAAATCATACATGAGACTAGAATAAATTTTCTGACTTCTGGTGATTAACTTTTCGTACAATAGTACAACCCTGCTACCTGGGCAAAGTGGCCCTAGTCTTAGGCCCTGTGCTTTGGAAGTCCCTACGTATCACGACACAAAAAATAAATTTATTAAATAACACATGGGCACCTCTGACACTCAAGATCTGGGTCTTAGCATTGACACAGTGTGATCTTACACATCCACTCTCGTGCTTAACAGCATTTAAGGCCCAGGGAAATGCTTCTTTATATCTCTTACCCTCTGACATTAAATGAAAAGGCAATTGTGTCCAAATCCTGTGATGTCTTCTGAATTAAACCACCATCAGATTTGGAAACGAACATGAGCAATTTATTAGGAGAATGTGGATAACAGAAGCACATTCTGTTGTAGGAGAAGAGACTAACTTTTCAGATCTTTCCTCTCAGTTAGCAAGAGTGCAAGAGACTTTTGCGTAATGCATTATCATTTTCCAGCACACAAAGCATCCATTTGCTTGCTTTTCTTTTTTTTTTTTTTTTTTTTTCCTGAGGCAGAGTCTCATCTTGTTGCCCAGGCTGGAGTGCAGTGGCACACTCTTGGATCACTGCAACCTTTGCCTTCTGAGTTCAAGCAATTCTCCTGCCTCAGCCTCCCATGTAGCTGTGAACAGGCCTGTGCCACCACACCCAGCTAATTTTTGTATGTATTTTTTTTGAGATGGAATCTTGCACTGTCACCCAGGCTGGAGTGCAATGGCACAATTTTGGCTCACTGCAACTTCCACCTCCGGGGTTCAAGCAATTCTCCTGCCGCAGCCTCCTGAGTAGCTGGAATTACAGGTGCTCACCACCACACCCAGCTAGTTTTTTGTATTTTTAGTAGAGACAGGGTTTCACTATGTTGGCCAGGCTGGTCTCAAACTCCTGACCTCACCATCTGTCCACCTCAGCCTCCCAAAGTGCTGGGATTACAGGATTGAACCACTGCGCCTGTCCTTCATCATGTTTTAATTTGTATTTTCTTACTACTTGTGAACTAATATTTTATTTGCAATAATTAAATATGGTGGCTGAGGAACATTTATGGTGTGTATGTGAAGGTTATATATAACATGCATAAAGTGTGATACCACTTCTTTACATTGGCCACTGAATGGGCATTGAATGTGATCATTGAAAATGGTTTTATTTTTATTCAGATATTTAAATAGATGCAAATAAAAATTTTAAACATTTTTATTTAATTTTTTTGATTTAAAATTTGGATCGTTAAAGAGATGATGAATCTGAAAAAAAGTTGATACGTAATGGTTATAATTTGCTTTTCTCTTTAGAAATTTTAAGAGAGTTTATTAGTTTTCTTCTTTTGTTTCTTTTTTTGTGTCTGTGAAAAGTAAAAAGTTCCTCTTCAATGTTTCCCTTCTTGTTAAAGAATAATAATACATTTTAGAAATAGGAATTTCTTTCAAAGACTAACTTTTTTCAATGCCTTCTGGCTTTTTGCTAATAACTCTTTGTTAAGCCCTATCCTATGTAGCTGTCAGACATAAAGGAATAAGAACATTCTATGTCCTTGCACTTTAACCAAAATATTTGTGCTGAATGTGCTCACAGGCATGTCCTAGCTTGCAGCCTATGCCCCTTCCTTATTTAGGAATGTTATTACTTTTCTAAGTCCTTTCAAAAGCAACTTCCTCTTTTCCTTTGTTCTCCATTGCCTTTACCTATTTAGAAAAGTTTTAAGTTGTTAGCCAATCAGGTTTTAGTTTAGATTGTGAAGTCTAGCTTCAACCAATGGAGATTGGACACAGCAGTAAGAAACCAATGCGTAAGGAATAAATATGCCTGCCTTTCTTTTGTTTGTTGTACTCTTGTGGCTAGACTGCTAGCAAGTAGTACCCTTTCCGCAGAAAGTAAAATTGCCTTGCTGAGAGAAATTTTTGTCTGAATGTTAAGTTTTCCTGGCAGTACTGAGGAACAAGCATTTTACTTATAACAATGTCAAACAGGTCATGTGCCAATGCTGTAATAAGGTTCAAGGGTGGCACATCTTACACACGTGCATGAACACCAATCATCACACTCATGAACTACAAAATGATCAGGAGAGATTATATTGAATGCTTTAGAAAAATTCCTTTCAAACATTAAATAATGAGAATTTTTCAGTTTTCAAATTTACTTTACAATTTTGGATGGAAGATATATTTGAACACTTTGAATACAGTCGCTTTGGTTTTTTTTTTTTTTAAATCTTCTAGGACTTTGAGAATGAGTACAACTTAAGGTCAAAATAGAAATAGAAAACATGAAACTGAAATTCAGAGAAGAAACAACTAGGAAGAAAATTTGTCAAAGTAGAAGAATAGAACATGCTTTTTTTCCCTAAAAGTTTGATAGTTTGATAACTGACTTTGAAATATTTAGACATATGATATATAGGCCACTATGTATCATCTGGTCCCACCACTACAAATGTTAGGGGTGGGACTTTAGGACAGAGTCCATGCACAGTTGCCACAGCAAGCTCTTTTTGGCCTAACTTGTATTTTAGCAATTATAAAATAATATAATTAAAATTGGTAACCTCACAATTGGAGAAAGTCACAAAGTGATAGCAAAAAAATTCAGCACATTTCTTAAATATGAATAACTCGAAGATGATTACATGATAGACTTGGGTGTTTTAAAGTAGTATATGATTTTCTTGAGGGAAAAATGTCCATGTCGAAAATCTATGCCACATTCTGAAGTAAAGAATGATTTCTAAGATAAAATGATCTTCAAGGAGGAAAACTATGTTAAGAAGCGAGTCGATTAATTTGGTCAATCAATAAATGAGTAATCATACCCATGTAAGGTGCCCCCAGCAGACAACTATGTTGAAGGGAAGAGATTTAAAACAATTAAAAGATGTGGTCCCGGATGCAGGAATTTTACAATCTAATTGATCTAATTGAAGAGATAAGCAATGCTTACTTGAAATAATTAAAAATTAGATACTAAAAGAATGAACTGTGAAGTCCAACAAGTTTACTGAGGATCAAAGCAGAGAAACATTGGTTTGAACTTCAGTCACCTTTCAGGGAGAGCTTCTTAGAGGGTAGTGGAATGAGACCTAAAATAATAATCTCTGGAATGGATTTAGGAAGGGTCATATTGGTCCAAGGAAACCACATGAACTATAAACTATATTTTAAAACAAACAAAATGCCATTCCTTTGTCTCCCCCATAGTAATGCTGTAAATTTTCCTAATACTATCTAGTCCTATATTTTATTTTATTTTATATTTTCTTTCATAGAGATGGAGTCTTACTATGTTGATCAGGCTATTCTCAAACTCCTGAGCTCTAACAATCCTCCCTCCTCAGTTTCCCAAAGTACTTGGATTACAGGCATGAGCCGCTATGTCTGGCCTCTAGTCACATATATATATATATATATATAGTTACATATATATATATATATATATATATGTGTGTGTGTGTGTGTGTGTACACACACGTATATGTGTGTGTGTGTGTGTGTGTGTGTGTGTGTAGACAGGTTGTTTGTTTATTTGTTTTAAAGACAGGGTCTCACTCCGAGGCTGGAGTGCAGTGGCACGATCATGGCTCATTACAACTTCAAACACCGGCACTCAAGTGATCCTCTCCCCCTCAGCCTTCCTAGTAGCAAAAACTACAGGCACACACCACGATGCCCAGCTAATTACTTCATTTTAATTTTTGTAGAAATAGGGTCTTGCTATGTTGCTTAGACTGGTCTCAACCTCCTAGACTCATGAGATCCTTCTGCCTTGGCCTCCCAAGGTGCTGTGATTACAGGCATGAGCCCCTGCACCCGGCCTAGATACATATTTGTAAAAGCTCCATATTTGTTACCTATTATCCCAAGACTTAGTGGCTTAAAACAATAGCATCTCAGTGGGCACTGTGGCATGTGCCTATAGTCCTAGCTACTTGGGAGGCTGAGGCAGGAGTATGTCTTGATCCCAGGAATTCCAGGCTGTAGTGTACTGATTGTGTGCCTATGAATAGCCACTGCACTCTCAGCCTGGGCAACATAGGGAGACACTGTCTCTATAAAACAAACAAAAAACAGTATTTCACATAGTTTCCATAGGCCAGGAATTTGGGAACAGCTTAGCTGGTTTGTTCTGGTTCAGGGTGCCTCATGAGGTTGCAATCAAGATGTTGGTCAGGGCTTCTGGAGGCTTTACTGTGGTGTGGGAATATCTGCTTCCAAGATGGCTCATTTCACAGGCTGGCAAGTTAGTGCAGGCTGTTGGCGGGAGGTCTGAGTTCTTCACCACATGGACCTTTCCCTTGGACTGTTTGAGTGTTCTCATAACTTGGTGGCTGATTCCTGCCAGAGGGAGTAAGCCAAGAAAGAGCAAAGTGGAAGCTGCAATATTGTTTATGACCTTAGCCTCAGAAGTCAAACATCCTCAATTCCTCATTATTCTATTGGTTGCACAGGTCATTCCTGTTCATCTTGGGCATGGGCTATACAAGGATTTGAATACCAATAGATAAAGATCACTGAAATCCATCTCAGAGGGTAATACAAGTCCCAAAATTTTCTTTGTTTTTTTTCTTTTTTTGTGTGTGACAGAGTCTCACTTTGTCACCCAGGCTGGAGTGCAGTGGTGTGATCTCGGCTCACTGGAAGCTCCACTTCCCAGGTTAGAGTGATTTTCCTGACTCAGCCTCCCCAGTAGCTGAGATTACAGGCACCCACCACCATGCCCGGCCAATTTTTGTGTTTTTTAGTAGAGATAGGGTTTTGCCGTGTTGGCCAGGCTGGTCTCAAACTCCTGACCTCAGGTGATCCAACCACCTCAGTCTCTCAAAGTGCTGGGATTACGGGCTTGAGCCACTGCACCTGGTTGAAATTTGCTGTTTTTGTGGTTTATAAAAGTGGCTAATATCAGCAATTTCATGTTTTCAACCTATTACTTATAAAGGTGCTACTATGAGCTAAGACACCTGAGATACATTTTTAAGAAGCTATAAACATAAAAATACTTTTCTTTCAAAACATTAATCAGAATTTTAAATGAATGAGAATAAACTATTCTTCAAGCATTGTAGTTATTTGAAATGTTACCGTATTGTTGATATTCTCATAAAGTTTTTAGTGTATGAGCTGAAGGACGTGTGGCAGAGGTTCTGAGAAGGCAACCTATCAGTGTGACTTGATGAAAGTAATTTAACATCACTGGGATCAATTTTCCTCATCTGTAAGTGAAGGAATTGAGTTAGATGGCATGTAAGTGATCTTTCTGTGCTAAGAATTTTTAACATGTCTTTTTTTTAAGATGGAGTCTTACTCTGTCACCCAGGCTGGAGTGCTGTGGCACGACCTCAGCTCACTGCAACCTCGTTCTCCCAGGTTCAAGCGATTCTCTTGCCTCAGCCTCCTGAGTAGCTGGGATTTCAGGTGTGCACCACCACTCCTGGCTAATTTTTATATTGTTAGTAGAGACAGGACTCCACCATGTTAGCCAGGCTGGTCTTGAACTCATGACCTCAAGTGATTTGCCTGCCTTGGCTTCCCAAAGTATTGGGATTACAGGTGTGAACCACAGTGTCCGGCCTTAAGACGTCTTTATATGCTGTGTATGAGCCACTATCAGTTCCTTTCTTAAACTCATCATAGAATTGCATATTTAAATGCTAAAAAAATGACTGTAACTAAATATATTAATAGTTAAACTCAAGGTCTCTTCAGCTTTTTAGTAGTCCAAAGAGGCTTTCTTCCTGCTTTTTTCTCTCGAAAGCATAGACTGCCCTTCAGTAAATCAATTTACTTAATTTGACTTGCTATATTTGACAACATTTTTTTGGGTTCACATATTTTTCTTGTGCCAAGTACTGCATTTTCCATTTCCCACAGAACCAGGACAAACTGTACATCCCCTGCTGTGTCCAGGGTAGATCTGGCTAAATGTCAACTATGTTAATTGGTATAGAGAAAACAGCAGCCCTATTTTTATCTGATTAAAAATCCCCACAAACATTCTCTTCTAAACTAAAGCTATGTCAGTACAAAGTGACTTAATTATAACATAAAGTTTGGCAGATGTGTCCTCCCAGCCTTTATTCTACTGTAGCATGCAGAAATGTTGTTTTTTCCTGGAATCCTCAAGCATCTAAAATTTTAATCCTACTTCTGGAGGTTTAGCATTCAGTACTCAAAACTTTCTCTAGTTTGCCAACTAGAATAAAATAGATTTGCTTTAAATCAATATGTTTAAACAAAAGATTTGAATTGAACAATGTATAGAACCTTATTTAAAAGGTAGTTGGAAATACTTTATTCCACTGTTAAAAAGTCTACATCTTAAAATTTGCCCCAGGATGAGCAGATTATGTAATATAATTGCTCTAGTTAAACGAGGTGTGGGAGGTGTGGGTGTAAAAGAGTAAAAGGTAATGAACTTTGATAAATTTATATGAGCTATAACAAGGTACCAGGGAAAACTTAATTTTATCTGAAAGTGACTTTATGTATTTGGTGCTCATTCAAAATTGTATGCTGCCCCTTTAATGTTGGAATTACCCAGGGCTGTCTTTAGTTCACTCCCAGGTTAACTTTATACATTCCATGATTTCACCAGCTGCTTACACACAGTGTTTGGGTCTGATCTCCAGCTTACTGAAAGGCACATCAATACCCTTTGGCATACTGGACAGTTCCATGCAGGTATCTCAGGAACAACTCTAAATCAATATGTCCAGGACTTTCTGTTTTTATTCTGGCATGTAAGCAGCTTAAAAATCACTACTCGCCAGTCATGGTGGCTCACACCTGTAATCCCAGCACTTTGGGAGGCCGAGGTAGGTGGATCACTTGAGGTCAGGAGTTCAAGACCAGCCTGGCCAACATGGTCAAACCTCGTCTCTACTAAAAATACAAAAAATAGCTGGGTGTGGTGGCACATGCTTGTAATGCCAGCTACTCGGGAGGCTGAGTCAGGAGAATCGTTGGGAAGGGGAGGTTGCAGTGAGCCGAGGTTGTGCCATGCACTCCAGCCTGGACAACAGAGTAAGACTCCAATCAAAAAAAAAAAAAAAAAAAAAAAAAAAAAAGGC